GATGCTGGACGGAAACCTGAAATTCTCAGCTACCTGGGCATCAGCAACGCGCTAAGGGGTTGGGGGTCCAGTAATCGAGGCCAGCAGGTGCCTGTGATTCCACCAGGAGGATGAGGAGCATGCACGGTGGTCGTGCCCTGCACTCAGTGCCACCTGTGCCTGCCCTTTGGCCAGTCCCTAGAACAGCCTGCCAGTTTTACAGAGGAGCCTCCTCGTGTCCTTACTGCCATGTCCAGGTCTTTCTGGCTGTACTGTAGCAGGTCCACGATGGGCCCAGTGGTAGGCAGGGGTGGGCTCTCAGGCATGAGGACACACGGGGGTGGGCCCGGCACCTGCAGGGAGATGGAGATGAGGGGTGAACCCTGCACCTAGGGGATTCGGGAAGTAGCCACAAGCCTTCCTCCTCACATCTCCCACCTGCCACCTGCCACCCAGGAGGAAAGGCCCACCCAGCCCAACTCCATGGAGATAGCATGGGTCGGGTGGTGGTGGCGGAGGGACGTGCAACAAGCTCCCCTCTGTCAGGTGCCCAGCAGCCCCACCACCAACTGAGCTGAAGGCTTTGGACCCCAGGAACATAGGACAGGCCCTCAAAACAACATGTGTCTTTAGACCACAAAAAGATCACTCAAGAGGGACTAAAGTACTTACGGGAACATCCAGCACTCCCAAAAAATCAAACTCCACGAGTGTGGCTTCTGGCGGATTTCCTGAGGAAGGCCAGTCCGCATTGCGTGTGCTGAGACCAAACAGAGCAGCCTGGGTCACCTCAGGTCCTCTCAGTGTTGAGCAGGACATAAAGCACAGATGTCTCCAGTCAACCAAGCTTTCAGTTTGTTAGTTGAAAACCAATAAAGTCAGGCTTGCAGCAGAAAATGCACGACTGTATCTAGCGAGCCCAACCTCTCCATTGCCCCGAGCCCCTTCCCTCTTGCCTGCTGTCCTTCCTGGGTCAAAGGCTTAATTTTTATTATTAGATGTGGCAAACTTTTTTCCTCCTCAGCTTCATGGCTTTTATGGAATGCCTAGTAGATCAGTCTCCTCGAAATTACGTAAATGTGCTATGTTTCCTTCCAGAACAGGGGTCAGCCCATGTTTTCCACATTTCAGGATGTGAAGGCCACACAGCTTCTCTCACAACTACTCAGTAGTGTGAAAGTTGCGATGGACAATTTGTAAAGGAAGGGGCGTGGCTGTGTGCCAATAAAACTTTATTCATAAAAACAGGTAGTGGGTGGAGTTTGGCCCACAGGTCATAGCTTGCTGACCTCTGTTCTAGAGTTACTACTTAAAAAAATATGTTTATCTGTTGGGGAATTCCAGAATTAAAAAAGACAGAAAAAAAGGAAATAAGAAAAAGAGAAAAAAAAGTGTTTAGATCTTTAATCTACATAGAATGGTGTCCATAATGAGCATGGCACTGTCCCTGTGACTGGAGGGCAGGGTCCTGATGGTGCCCACTAAGGAGCTCAGGGCTCTTGCTGTCCTGCCCATCCACCATGATTCGCTTTTAGTTTAGATCATCCCCTTAGTCTAAAAGTCTCTGATCAAATGGAGCACCTGGGAACAGCCACCCATCTCCTTGGCCTGCGCTAAAGGCTCCACAGATGGGGGGCAGGTACCTGCTTGTCGCAGTGGATGTGGTCACTGGTCGACGAGGACTGTCCTTCAGTAGCGGGTCGAACTTGAGGTATAAGGACTGCTTCCTCAAGGCCGACTCCTTAAACTAGGGGAGGATAGGGCAAGTCAGCAGGTGTCACTGTTGTCCCAGAACGGTCCCCAGAGCCCTGGGGCGAGCTGCTCACGAGGCAAAGGGCTCTGGGGAGGTCACAACACACTCCTGCTTCTGGTTGCCCACAATTCTGCCCCAGGTACCACCATTCCTGGCATCACAGGATTTCCAGGTTTGTCTCAGGTGATCACCTGGGTTGGAACTCTGGTAGGACTACAGGCCACCACTTAAATGAGAAATTGTAGGAAAAGGGGCCCTAGAGACACTCAGGACCAGTCCCGACGTTTGGGCCTATTTGCAGTCAGGGAAAATATGGGCACCCTGTGCCGCTCCACAGTGAAGAACCATCCGGCTGTTTGGGCGTGACGGTGTGGGGCTGTTCTGGGGACATGCAGTCCAGGTGAGGCTGCCGTCACAGTGCCCAGGACTTACCGAGGAAGTTCCAAACTGCTCCAGGTAATCTACCTCGGCCCCTGTGCCTAGAACTGAGAGGGAGCAAGTCGCTGCTGCTGTCACTGTCCCCTCACATCCAGGGCCCTGAGGGCCACAGGCTAGGTCTCCCATGGTGCTCAATAAGATGTGACCATGGCTCTCTGGTGGAATAAACACAGGGAGCATTCCTGGCCAGTAGGCCAGCAGCCTCCTCACCTGGGACCTGGGGCCGAGGGTCCTTTGCCTTATGGTGGGATTTCTCACCTCAGTGCTGCTTACACTTGGAGCCTGACCACTCTCTGCAATGGGGGTGTGCTGGGCACTGCAGGCTGCTAAGCAGCATCCCTGGCTAGCTACTCAATGCTAGTAGCACCCCTAGGCATGACAACCAATAATGAATGTCCCCTGGGGGGCAAAAGTACCCTAGTTGAGAACTACTGTTTAAAACTGCCTTAGAAAAACCTTTCAAGATCTGATAATATAAACTTTGGTTAAGAAAACCTAAGGGTAAGCCGGTGCAGACGCAGGAGGATCGCTTGGGCCCAGGAGTTCAGGGCTGCAGGGCGCCGTGACTGTGCCTGTGAACACCCACTGCATTCCAGCCTGGGCGGCATAGTGAGATACCACTAAAAAAATTAAAAACCTTTAGGGTGCTTCACGCTATATACAAAAATTAACTCAAAATGATCAAAGACCGAAATGTAAGAGCTAAAACTATAAAACTCTTAGATGCCCAAAAGATGTTCATTAGCCATCAGGGAAATGCAAATCAAAACCACAACCAGATACCACCTCCCAGCCACTAGGATGGGCAGGACGAGTGAGACATAACAAGTGTTTTGAGGAACCCTCCTACACTGCTGGTAGGAAGGTAGAATGGTGCAGCCCCTCTGGAAGACAGTCTGGCAGTTCCTCAAAAACTTGAGCATAGAGTCACCATGACCTAGTAATTCCAATGTCAGGTGTACATGCAAAAGAATGAAAACGTATGTCCACACAAAATCTCAAGGGTGCCTCATACCATATATAAAAATTGACTCAAAATAGATCAAAAACCTGAAGACATGAATGTTCGTGGCGTTATTTACAACAGCTAAAAAGTGGAAACAACCCAAGCGTCCAGGGATGAATGAATGAATGAACAAAATATGAATGTTATTCAGCCACAGCGGGGACGGGGCACTGACGCCTGCTGCAGATGGATGAGCCCTGGAAACACTATGCTCCGTGGGAGAGGCTAGACCCAAAAGCCCATGCTGTGTGTGATTCCAGGGGTCCCACATGGGGGTGACAGGTCCACCCCAGCTAAAGCTTATCCCCATGTGGCCAGAACCCATGACTATCCTGCCAGAGATAAAGCTTATGTTCACCTTCCAGTCTTCTCAATGACTGAGGTTTTTTTTTTTTTTTTGAGACAGAGTCTCACTCTTTTTGCCTGGGCTCGAGTGCCGTGGCATCAGCCTAGCTCAACCTCAAACTCCGGGGCTCAAGCAATCCTTCTGCCTCAGCCTCCAGAGTAGCTGGGACTACAGGCATGCGCCACCATGCCTGGCTAATTTTTTTTCTATATAGTTTTTTAGTTGTCCGATTAATTTATTTCTATTTTTAGTAGAGACGAGGTCTCGCTCTTGCTCAGGCTGGTCTCGAACTCCTCAGCTCAAGCAATCCACCCGCCTCAGCCTCCCAGAGTGCTAGGATTACAGGCGTGAGCCACCACGCCCGGCCTCAATGACTGAGGTTTTAAGTGACCAAAATTGAGATTTTACAAAGTTGCTTTATAGCCTTTAAACCAATCCAATTATAACTCTTTGAAGCACTTTATTTATTCTTTTCTCCTGCTTTTCTCTTCTGATGCACTTTAACGACCATTGTACCTTCCACATTTCACCACAGCCTGGTGTTGAAGGTTTAAGCTTCTCATTTCATTAATTCCCTGATTACCAACGAGTGCCCAGTTGGCGATTATGAGTTTGCATGTTGTCCTTGAGTCATCTTGTTTATGCCTTCGGCCGATTTCTCTGAGTGAGTATACAAATTCTATTTCTAGAAGTCCTTTATGTGAAAGGCATGAGCCCTATCCTACTGAAAATGCCTATCTTTTGATAAACTAGAAGTTTGTGTATGAATTACTTAACGTTAGGGGCAGACCAGCCTGTAGAACGACCACTGGCCAATGACACAGGGGAGTCAAGCCACCAAACACAGATGCTCAGGGGATACATTTAAAGCAAACCAGAGGACGTCCGCCCTGAGGTGACTTACCCTCTGCAGGGTCTCTGAAGCTCTCCTCCCTCGGCTCCAAGGCAGGCTCTGGCCCCTGCTGAGTGAGGGGCACTGCCTCACTGCCTGGACAGCTCGTGGGAACCGATGTGCCTGAAGACTTCCAGTTTCCCTCCTGGAGGGAAGGTCAGAGTCACCCTTGGCAGTTGAGGACCCTCTGGGTGGGATTTTGCTTCACCCAGTCTCATCAAAGTAAACCCCCGGGGCAGGGGCAGCAGGGTATCCCATCCCGTCAACGCAAGGTCACCGGTACCTCCCTTACCCCGATACTTTTCTACATGGATAGTACAGGAGCATAAGGCCTCACACACACCCCGTACCTTGCCCTCTGCGCTTGGGGTCTCAGCTGCCATCTGCGCCACAGGTGTGTCCTCCACTGAGGCTGGACGCAGCTGCCTAGAGAGACAGAGTCAGCAAAGGCCTAGGTGCCCTGCCCCATGGCTCCCAGCACCAAGCTGCCCACCTGCCTCCCACCTGCATTGTTGCATTGGTCATGTCAGTGCTCAGCTAGAGTGCGCCAGGTGCAGGGGCTGCCCAAGCGACCTGACCAGGAAGCTGCCCTCACCAACCCCACCCAGCATTAGAAACGCGCCTTGCCTGCTGGCTCTGGGAGGAACGGGCAAGCAAAGAGGACTCGAGCAAAGAGGACTCGTGTAGTCTTTTGACCGTGAAATCAGCAAAGGGTCTGGGGGCACAGGAGGTAGGAAAGGGCCATCCCTGGGCTGAGCAACTAGGGCCATGGGGTGTGGCCTAAGAGGAGACAGTGGATGGCAGCTGGCCCTGGACGCTCTGCTAGGAAAGGTCCACACCAGAACGCTGGGTGGAGGAAGGCCAAGACCCCAGCGAGCAGCGGCACCAGAGGGGGCTCCCACCGGAAGGCACACAGGTGGGGACTGAGAGTCACCCTAGGTGGAAACAGGCTCATCTGGCTGTTGGAATTCAGGTTCACCTGGGGAGGTGCCTGAGCTGGGGGAGGGGACCTTGCTCTGGGGCTGGCCACATTTTGCTTTCAACTTGAGAGGCAGCTTCACGCGCTTGATTCTTCTTTAAACCCAGGGCGCGCTGCCACACAACTCCTGACACCCTCCCGGCCTCAGGATCGGGGAACCTGCAGCTGTGCCTCCTCTGCCCAGAGGCCCCTCCTCGGGGGTTTCCCTGGCCACAAAGGAGCGTCTAAGTGGTATTTCTGGATTTGGGCCCCTGACCACACGTACCACAGAGCAGCCACCCCGCACTTACAGGCTCAGACTTGAGTCCTCCGCGGCCCCAGGCCCGGAGGTTGGGCTTGTGGCCCTGCCAGCCGTCAGGGGCCCGGGGGTGCCCACACTCTCAGGGGGGGCCAGGGCCTCTCCAGGCAGGTCTGCCAGGGGCACTCCACGTGCTCCTTCAGGGCTTGTACCAGCAGGCGCAGCAGCCTCGGCCAAGGAGGCAGAGCCCCCGCCATGTGCACTTTCTCCCTCGGCTCTGTGAGGAGTCTCTGCTTTCAGGGAGGACGCTATCCTGGGAGGGTCTTCCGGGGCCTCGGAGAAGGATGTCACGCTTCTGTCTGAGGGACGAGAACTAATGTTTTCCTCTAAGGCTCTCTCAGGGATGCCAGACATTTTTCTTGGAGACGCCATTTGGCTTTCAGGACTTCCTGGGCCCTGGGGAGAGCTGGAGGCACCTGGGTTGGCCAGGGGGGCCGGGCCAGGCTCCGCGGAGCTGCCACCTTCAAAGGTTGGGTCTGCATTCCCTGGAGGAGCATCAGCACCAGCCGCCACTTGTTTCTGGAGAATTCTATTGATAGTTTTGGCCTCCACTTGCTTGATAAACTGTTGGCTTTTTAAAAATAGGCTTAATGTTAATTGGAGTGAATTCTTGTAATGTTACGCTGCCTCAGCATCCATCTTGAATACAAGTTTAACCTTCCCCACCAGAAGCAGGGCCTGTCACCCTTGACACGGCTTCCAGTTCTACACTCCTCCCCAGCCCTAGTTCCTCATCACGGTTCCTCACTGTCGTGTCACCTCACGCAACCGCCTGCTGGTGACCAGCTCCCTGTGGTGCAGCTGCAGATAGCCCACCCACTGTGGAGGGGGTGGCTGCGCATGGAGTCTCCATCGGTGGCCTGCCTGTGTCATCATGCTCACCAAATGCCTTCCTAGGTGCCCAACCCACATTTCTGCAGTAGCCTTTGAGGTCTTCACTATTCCGACAGCCTCTGTGCACCGTGTACACAGTGTAGTGCTGAGGCACAGGCCGGTCAACAGTAACAGGAGTGACATAGCACAGGTTGCTGCCTAGGCATTAGGAGGAGGACACCACACCCAAATGGCTCAAGCCAGGCATAAGCTTACTGGGCTCTCTGCTTTTCTGGGGCTTCCTTTAAAGGAACAGCTTGGGCATTTGCCCGTGAACTTAAAGTGACCCCTACCCTATTCCCTGATATGCACTGCAAGTTGCCACGCTCTCAGCTCTCCTCACCTGCCAGCACTCCCAGTCCTAAGTGTGGCCTCTAGGCGTGCTGTGTACCACCAGGGCCTGTAAGTAATAAAACCTTCATTTCCATCTTGTGTTTCTCCTAAGCCTTGAAGGGGTGCTGTCTTAAAGACATAAACTACAACATCTGTTAGCTATGGGCAGAAAACAAGAATGTTTGGTCAACCCTGTCCTCTGGTTTAAATCTCACCCAAGGACGTGACCACAGATCAGTGCTGGCAGCCATCTGGGGACACACAGACTGAGACAGAGCAGGGATGTGACAAGCCAACCATCCAAGTGAAGGTTTTCTGCGTTAACCTGCTTTCCCCTTTCAGTCGGAGACCAGCAGCTCTGTGGGCAGGGATGGTCAAACTTTCACTGAAGAGGGGGATGGCGGAGGTCAAGAATGCTGCCTTCAGATAGAGCAGGGCCTGAATGGCCTTCTCGACTCCTCTCTGGTATGTGGCTACACCAGGCTAGCACCTGTTACAGGGGAGTGCCATGCGCACAAAGGACATCTCCTAGGGGACCGCTGTCCCGTCGTGTTTCACTTCTAATGCAGGGTGTTGGGGTGCAGAGGCCACAGAGCCCTGATAGACAGAAAGCTTGCTGGGACAGCTGGGGCTGGACCACAATGCTGAGGGCATGAGTTGCTGTGCTCGTGGTGACATTTTTTTATTTAAGTTAGGTGAGAGCATATTAGTGCTATATTGTGCTTTTCTCTCTACGTCTTTAATCTGTTTAAAAGTTTGAACCGTTAAATCAGCAAAAACCAGCAGAAAATTGTGCCAGTGAGGCCCCTACCCACACTGGATGTGAGATGTATTAGCTCAGCTGTGGAGTGAGGCACTGCCTCCAGGGCCCCCCACTTTCTAGGCAAAGACAGGATGAGCCTTGGTGCCACTTACCATCATGCGTCGGGTCGGCCAGCAGACTGCCCAACCCAGCGCCTGATGCCAGGCCCAGCCCTTTGACCACATATATTCTGAGCAGCAAGGAGTTGTGACCTGCTCTGTGTCGGACCTGGGCCAGTTCACCCCTCCCTAGGCAACCTGGTGGTTCCCCACTCCCGAAAGGTCACCATGTTGATGCCGAACTTAGTGCGGACACCTGATAGGCAAAGGGCGCTACAGCCTAGAACTCCTGGACTCAAGCAATTTTCCCACCTCAGTCTCCCAAGAAGCTGGGACTACAGGCACGCGCCACAGCCCAGCACACGTATTTTGACTGGTATAGACAGTACAACACAATTTCTCTGCCTACAAGTTTCTATCTGTTCTTTCTGAGTGCTGAAATGAGCAGAATGAAACAGAGAAATGAAACTGCAGATCGTCATTCCCTGGAGGTGGGTCAGGACATTTCATCGCGTTAGAGAAACAAAGATTGAGGCCAACTGATTGGCAAGGGCCCAGCAAAGCAGTAAAGTATGAAGTTAAACCTTATTCTGAGTATTTGATGATCAACTTTTCTGCTAACCAACAGGCCACACACTGTATAAACTCACTAGAGATCAGGAGAAATCCAGCCAAGATGTGACAGAATGTTCCCACCAAGTCAGTCAGAGACTGTGAAGCTACGGTACATTCAACAGCACTAACACTTACTTCTCTTTCTGTGGCCCAACATGTTGAAAGTTTTCTGATCCAATGGTGTCATCCAGAACAAAAGGAATCTCAAGTTTGCTAGTCATGCTGGGACTTAAGATCCTGTGTGTCTGTGGATCCCGCAGAGGTGTCTGAAAAGTCACCTGTTAGGGAGTGAGGAGAGAGTACCTGTTTGCTAATTCAAATTGTTACAACCATGTTGGCTGTTCGACATGGTCACCAGAAAAGTAGGCCCCAGGGCAACCTGACAGGCTACACACAGTAGAGTTCACACTTACCTTCATTGCTTTGGCCAGGTTCTTGGGTGGCACATTTTCTTTCTGTGACAGACAAAGAACAGACAATCTTCCGGTAAGTTCTGGTGGTGAAAACAGGAAGTCGCAGTTTTCTGTACTTTTTTCACTGGTGACATCTTCGTCATTTAAGATCTGCAGACTCATTCTAGTAAAGCAAAACATCTTTGTGTCAGCATGAGGGAAATGACACTGCATTGTTTGGACACATATGACCCAGGGACAGAGCTGCCCCAAAGTCCTGCGGGGAGGACGTTGTCTCCCAGCACAGGTGTGGTCAACACCCTAAAGCTCACCTCACACTGGTGTCCTCTGCCAAGGAAGGCAGAGAAAACCTCAGAGTCAGTTCCTGTCCCACTTCAGGGGACTCTGACTCTCCAGCCTGGCAGGGGGAGCTTCGGGCAGCCCTGCCAACTCCTGGGATGAAGAGCTAAAAGGGCCTTCAGGCTGAGAGAAGGGAAAAAACCCAGTCCTCATAACAACTCCTACTGTTGGATTACTCTGTTGGGTAAAACTTAGCAGACAGGAAAATCCTGGCCTGTAGGAAAACCAGAAGAGCCAGAGGAAGCCCCAGTCTCCCCACAGGCCTCTGCCTGTGGTATAAGGCATGAGAGGGCAGCTGAGGACAGGACAGGGACTCTACTC